AGCTATATATTTAGGGCAGTAGATACAAGGGCCAGGAGGATTGCTCCATAGCTGGAAGCCTGCCTCATGAGCAGAGGGGAGAGGGCAGCTGGAATAGAGAAGGAATCACTAAGAAATTGATGGCTGGAGGAATCAGTATGGGAGATGTGTGCTGAAAGTAGATAATGGACCAAACATGATAAGTTCTCATTGTCTGCATAAGGCCCAAAAGTAGAGAGAGAGTATGGGGAATATTGTCTGCCATGGAGGAAGGGGACGGGTGGGGAAGGGGGGGTATACTGGAGAGATTAGTGGTGGGAATGTGCACTGGTGAAGGGATGGGTGTTTGATCATTGTGTGATTGTAACCCAAACATGAAAGCTTGTAAATTTCTCACGGTGATTAGATAAAATTTTAGAAAATAAATAACAAAATATTTGAATCGGTGTTTTAGCATATAGGTGGTTATCATTATTTTTGAGTGTGTGTTGGGCATATCCAAAGATAGAATATATCTAGGGCTATAAAATAAATCTCAAAGGCCTAAAATGATTTAAACTATACAATTCTTTTCTCCAAACACAGTATAATCAAACTAAAAATCAATATCAGAAATATAGCAGTAATATTTCCAAACACTTGAAAAAACATTTCTAAATAATCAATTTATAATCCATTGGTCAAAAAGGTATTCTTAAGGAAAATTAACAAAACAATTCATTGAACTGAATTAAAAAGAAGAGTTAATAACTTGTCATATAATTTCAAGAGGTAACAGAATCATTAATGGAATATTAAATAAACTGATCACAGCAAAGAATAGAGAACCAAGACTTAAATTTATGTAAGTCAGCCCAGCTAACTTTATACGGTATTTATAAAAAGCATTCATGAGGAAATACAGCTTTTTTTTTTCCTCATTGGCTTTTTGGGTCAGGGGTTATTCCTAGCACTCAGGCATCACTCCTGGCAGTGCTTGGGGGACCATCTGGGATCCCAGGAATCAAACCCAAGTTGGCCACATGGAAGACAAACACCCCCTATTGCTCTGGCCCCCCATACAGCTTTTAAAACATGTGTTGCTGGATAATTTGTACAGTCATAGGAAACTAAGTGAATTATGATTTTTGTGACCCCACCTAGTGTTGCTCAGGGTTTGCTTCTATTTCTGTGCTCAGGTACCACGCCTGGTAGAGAGCAGGGAACAATATTGGTCCTGGGGAATCGAACTCAGGTCAGCAATTTACAAGGCAAGCAGTCTGCCCACTGTGCTATTGCTTTGGCCCTGTTAACAATGATGTAAATGATATAAATACTCTCTTTACATGAAAAAGTTACTTCAAAATAAATGACAGAAGAAAGGGAGCTAAAACTTTTATTTTTTAATTTTTTTAATTTTTTCATAACATGAGATTTATTTTACAGCACAGTAATTTTGGTTTTCAACTATCTGAAGCTACTATATCAAATTACCACAGCATCTTATTACAACAGTATTTTTAGTTGGCAATATACATGAAAATCATGAACATCCTAAAAGTTCAATTTTTTTACAAAAGAGAACTTTTGGATCTGATGATGTTTTATACTACAAACTTAAACTTCTTTACTAGATTACCAGGTTACTTTACTAGGCTACTCAGAATAATATGCTTTTATTTTTTCAAAAAAATAGCATTAATATCAGTCGCAATCTGCCTCTCAATCCTGGTACTAGGGATATGCATTTGTTTCCCACTTAGTCTGGCTAGGAGGTGATTATCTTATTGATATGTTTAATAAATGCTGAGCTTTTGCTTTTTTGAAAAAAAAGAACTTTTATTTTTATTAATATATTTATTTATTTATTGAATCACTGTGGGAAAAGTTACAAAGCTTTCAGGTTTAAGTCTCAGTCATGCAATCATCAAACACATTTTCCTTCAGCAGTACTTATTCTTCATCACCAAGAACCTCAATATAACCCCGCTCCCAACCCTCCCAATGCCTGTGAAGCAGATGAATTCTAGTTAACACTCTATCTACTTTGATTAGATTCGTTGTTTCAACACAAGATGCACCACTATTATTTAGAGTTTACACCCCAAAATCAGACCTGCTGAAAGGCATTTTGAAATAATTTGTTTTCTACAGCTGGTTACAAGGAGCAAATGATGTTGTGGGGCCGCTATTGCGGCCGCGTGATTTTGGATTTCTGATATTTTACTTATTAAGCCTGGAAGTATTTCTGCCAAGAGTCAGATAATTATAAGATTGGTCTCTGTGGCTCTAGAGCCATGGTGGTGCCGGAGAGTCGCTTGTGGGGGGCAACTCGTGACATTGGAAGAGTGTGAAGGACGAGCTGGGAATGCCCCCTTTCCCATGAGACTCCAGTTGCCCCATCATGACTGGCTCATACCTGGCTTTCCAAAGAGTTCCGAGGCGGCTGCCACCTTGCTTTCCGGAAGGAAAAAGGCAGACGGGAGCAACACTCTTTCCCTTCCAGGTAGGCATGGTGGCATGGATTAACACATAGTTCATTCACTTTTCTACTGCAAGCTGCCGGGGTTTGCATTAAGTCCTTGTGCTTCTGGAGCCATGGTCGTGCCAGAGAGCCGCTCATTGGGGGCAACTCGTGACCTCGGTAGGGCATGAAGGACAAGCCAGGAATGCCCTCCTTCCCATGAGGTTTCAGTCGCCCTTCACGACCGGCTTTCCAAAGAGCTCTGAGGCGGCTGCCATCTTGCTTTCCAGAGGGAGCTAAAACTTTTAAATACCACACTAAAATATTCCAGGGCTATGCAAAGCTTCTTAAACTTGATGCCAAAAGCAGAATATATTAAACCGAAAATTGTGAAATTACATATAATAAAAATTAAAAGTTTCCTCTGTGAAAAGGATGAAGAACCAAGAAAATGAGTATCTAGTTTACCATTCTATTTTTTTAAATTAATTTATGGCTGGAGCGATAGCACAGCGGGTAGGGCGTTCGCCTTACAAGCGGCCAACATGGCCGACCCGAGTTCGATTCCTCCGCCCCTCTCGGAGAGCCCGGCAAGCTACCGAGAGTATTCGATATGCCAGACACAGTAACAACAAAGTCTCCAATGGAGACGTTACTGGGCCCGCTCGAGCAAATCGATGATCAACGGGAGGGCCTTTACCTTTTACCTTTATGCTCTTTTACCCTGCATAATTTTGCATAATACATTGTTTTCCAGGAATGTCTTTGTTGGATTATTTGAAAGTATTGGTAAAATGCTTCTGATATTTTCATTATGATAAAATGAAATATTAATTGATAGTTAATGAAGTAAAGATTCGATAGTATCTTCTTTACTTGGTGTTTCTGAATCCAGGAAAAGTTCTATTGGTCAAATAGGTATTATTAGTTAGGTATGTACTGTACTTGTTTTCTAAATATTGAAAACTTAAGAAGCTTAAATATAATTTTTAATTTATTCATATAAAAATTTTTATATTAAAGTATTTACTTTGGTTTTATTGGAAAACATGATGACAAAGTGAGGCAAATAAGACTATCCTGCTACAGAAAAAATAAGGACCTCTCTCAGTAAAGCACACTGAATATGTCAGTCATTTATTTGTGTGGTCATGAAATTCAGAAACCAGAAGGATAATTACAAAATTCAAGTTTGAATATTCTAAAGAATGAAAAATTTTATCAAGTACTTCTCAGGCTGGAGCGATAGCACAGCGGTAGGGCATTTACCTTGCACGCAGCCAACATGGCTGACCTGAGTTCGATTCCTCCGCCCCTCTCGGAGAGCCCGGCAAGCTACCGAGAGTATCTCGCCCGCACGGCAGAGCCTGGCAAGCTCCCCGTGACGTATTCGATATGCCAGACATGGTAACAACAAAGTCTCCAATGGAGACGTTACTGGGCCCGCTCGAGCAAATCAATGAACAACGGGAGGGCCTTTACCTTTACCTTTATTTCTCAGACTACAGCAAGAATGAGAATTCAAAAGTATTATGGATTTAGCATGGAAAAAGTCACTGACAACTTGATTTTACCCATTCAAACTGTGGAGACAGGAAGGAGAGTAGAAGAGAAGTGTTTTGTGATGAGTGGAAGAGGAATAGACAGATTCATGAGTTGCTATGGTTTATAAGAAATGCAGCATCATAAGAAATTTTTCTCATATTTTTAGCTACTCATTTTGTTATTGCTGGAGCGATAGCGCAGCGGGTAGGGCGTTCGCCTTACAAGCGGCCAACATGGCCGACCCGAGTTTGATTCCTCCGCCCCTCTCGGAGAGCCCGGCAAGCTACCGAGAGTATTCGATATGCCAGACACAGTAACAACAAAGTCTCCAATGGAGACGTTACTGGGCCCGCTCGAGCAAATCGACGATCAACGGGAGGGCCTTTACCTTTACCTTTACCTTTTGTTATTGGTAATAAAATCCAAGTTTATAGCTCATCACTTGGATGAATTTAGAGAAAGTAATGTTAAAGACCCCAAAAGGCCAAATTAGATATAATATACATCTATTTAAAAACACAATCAATGTCACTAGAAATATTCATTGAGAGAATTAATTGGAACATATCCAAAATACTTGTTAGGATATATTTTCAAATATATTTATGATTTCTATAGAAATGTTCAAACCTCAAAAGAATGGGATTGGCAAAGGATCAAGCAAAGATATAAGAGATTTTTCAAAACATTCAAGGCCTGTTTCTGCTAGATATTAAAAACTTGGGTGTCACTGAACAAACAAGAACATTTTAAGTTACATTATCTCTATTTTTACTGAAATAGTACCTATAATTTTATTATGGTTAGTCTCTTTGCTATCTAGTCCTCAATAAAGTTGGTATTATTCTATTACATTTGAGTGTTTATGTCTTTGCATAAGTTTATTTGTAGAATAAATTTAATTCTGTACATCTACATTAATGTCTTCTGCATGTAAAAAAATATATATGGATTTGCAGAACCTATGGGGATGTATTCTGAACTTTGAGTTAAGGATTTTGTTGTTAACACTATATTTATTTTATTCATTTTTGAAAATCTGTGATGCTTCACGAATTTGCATAGCATTCTGTGCAAGGCCAAGCTAAACTTTTCTGTATCATTCAAAATTTAGTATATGTGTTGCTGAAGCAAACACTATGCTTATTATTAAGTAGAGAATGTCACCTTGATTATAATGCAATTTTTATTAATCAGTTTCTTATAGGTATACTGATAAAACGGAAGATTTATTTTGGGTGGCAAGATAGAAAATGCAAAATGCAGTCCAACTCCTGGCTAGGGAATATTATCAAGTATTCATACAGTGTAACACAAAAGGAAAATTTCCTAAGCACTTCATTTGGTCTTTGGACACCTCAAAACAACTACAGCATTCTCTGTATAGTAACACAAAATCTCCAACTAAAATGCCTATACATTGTCTCTAGATATTCAAGTTGGAAATCTTTTGTGTGAGTTTATGAGTTTATCATATACTTTATATTAATGTATTTTACAGAAATTTGAAGACAATCCTTCATTTACTTTTATAGGATACATTTCTTAAGTTGCTTCAAAAATTTGTGACTTTACATTTCCACATTCTTATAAGTTACTTAGATGGTCAGATTGTATAATCTACATTTTTCTTCCTCCTCATATCTCAGGGATGTGGATTGTTACCCATTACACCACAGTGGACAGCTTTCTGTGCTTCTGTTATGAATGCTGCCCTTACCTACCTGCTGGTCAAGTACTCCAGGAGTGTACAAAGTTTTTTGCCATGGTACATTTTGTCCTACAGACTGGCAATTTTTTGTCTCAGTTGTCACATGGCTAGCTTCTTCCTATTGTTTAAAACTTCCCTTGTGTGGTCAGAAAGATAACCCAGTGGCCAGAGACTGCTATGCTCACATCCTGATGCCCTGCAGCTCTGGAACCCTGCCAGTGTGACCCTGGGGCTTACCATTTGGGCTCTACAGAGGGTTCAAACAGCATTTAATCCATAAGCCTCATGGATCAAGTACCACTGTGAGTGGTCCAGGGGTTTGCTGAGGATTTCTAAAGATTCCCACTCTGAAAAAAGGATCAAGCATGCTTTGAGAACTACCATTTCAGAGAATCAGCCTGCTGCTCAAGACATGTGAACCATTCTCTTCATTTTGTAGTTTGCTTGGTTCTTAATTTTTGTAACCATTAACATGTCCTCATAATTTTATTTATATACTACTTTACAGAAATCAACCACTTCTATCAGCCTAAGGGACGTAACTATATTCAAAATTGTACTTAAATAAGCAGTTAACATACCAGAGTAAAATGCTCAGTTAGTAGTTTTTCTATGAATGAATAGGGCAAGTGAGAATTTTATATAATATGTGTGTGTGTATAAAGGTTTAATTCAGTGTTTCAAATCACTATTTTAATCATGGCATGACAGAAAAGAATGGCACTGTATCTACTATTTCCAAGACCTAAGTATTGAACCAAAAGTATTCTACTTTCATTCTCCCCACCAATGCATTCATATGGAATACTTGAAATATTCAATTAAAAATCAAGAATATGTTCATTCAAATCACTAGGTACACACAATCTAGAATTAGATTTCCCACCTGGGTCAGTATCAAGCTGTCAATCTCTTTTCAGAATTAATCATTTCAGAATTTAATGGGTAGAATTACTTAAAAATTGGATTTTAAATTTCCTTAGTTTCGGGGAGGTTAGGCCTTCCAGATGGTGCAAGGAGGCCGAGGTGTCCATCAGCAGTTCTTGGTCAACTGGGCAATTGGTTCCATTACAGGGCTGAAGGTGCTGCTTGAGCGATTGCGTACCTGGAATTAGCTAGCTCTAAAGGCAGTGCTCAGAGGCCTCTAGACCACAGGCAGCACTGCTGGGTGCCTCCAGGGATGCACTTGGTAATACTTAGGGGAACAAGAGGTAGTGGGGATCAAATCAGGGTATGCAGTATGCTAAGCAAACACCTTAACCCTCACCTTTATCTTTCTCACCCTTGTTTCCTCCTTAACTTCCCATCAAAAGTAGAACCAGAGTGGCTTCTAGTTGCTATTGATCATGACTAAATGAAAAGTCCTGTTCTTTGTTATATAAACCTCTAACCCTAAAAATCTTTACAGATTAACTCTTGAGTTTTCCTATTTGTTTACTTCTAACTAAAGAATCCAGTTTGCTCTTTTTGGTTTTATTCTCCATTTATAAACAGTACAATTTTGTTTTAAGTTTTTACCATTTAATGGTAATAAATAAACATTTGCTCGAGCGGGCCCAGTAACTGCTCCATTGGAGACTTTGTTGTTACTGTGTCTGGCATATCGAATACTCTCAGTAGCTTGCCGGGCTCTCCGAGAGGGGCGGAGGAATCGAACTCGGGTCGGTCATGTTGGCTGTGTGTAAGGCGAACACCCTACCGCTGTGCTATCACTCCAGCCCCTCTCGGAGAGCCCGGCAAGCTACCGAGAGTATTCGATATGCCAAACACAGTAACAACAAAGTCTCCAATGGAGACGTTACTGGGCCCGCTCGAGCAAATCGACGATCAACGGGAGGGCCTTTACCTTTACCTTTTACCTTTAAATAAACATTTGTGATTTTTTCCTATTATTAATATCCTATTATTAAGATTCCGTAGCATGGATTCAGAGTGCTGTTGTTATTCACTTATTTATCTTGGGACTCACTGTGATTTAGAATTCTGTCAATATTTGTCCCCGACTCATAATGTTTCAATTCTGCATTCATCACCTGTATCAGCAGCTTCCACCAATGTACCAAGGTCACTCCCTTTCCCAACTCTCCTCCTTAGCAAAGTCACACTGTTTTAAATTTGACTACTTCTGTATCCAAGATCCCCCACTATTACTTCTAGTCAGACTAATTATTTCCCTGCCACGTTTCTCTTTCTTGGCATTCTCAGTAGTGTAATCCAGGATCAATGATTTGCCATCATTTGCTACTTTCCATTCCCCTGTCTTAGTTATGCTCTGCTGGCCAAATGGCCAAATGGTCATCCTGTACTCATCTTCCCTCTGACTTACTGCACTCAATTTGATATGCCCCACATTACAGCAAACAGCATGATTTCCTCTTCAACAGGGTCAACTTTAATTCACATTTTCTCCCATAATTACCACAAAGGCATCAAACTCACACTTTGGGTCCATTTACAGTATATTGTTAATTATTATTCTATTTTCATATTTACATTCCCATAGTGCATAGCTAGATGTCCCTACTCAGTGTTTAAAATATTAGCATTACTGCTCTCCATGTTTCTCGAGGTAATACTGAATAAAGAAAATCTCCAGTCCATGTTTGATAAATTACTATATTTTCATTTAGTAATTAGAGTGATATTTTAAAGCTTGAAAGGGATAATAAATTAATATATTTACAACTTGTAACAAGAACAGTTTTTGCTTTATTGCCCTTAAGAGATTAAACTACTTGATACTTATAATTGTGGGATTCATGATAGTGTGCATGTTCTTATAAGGGAGTGCATATGATTTCACCACAGGAAGCTATAATATCATACACAAAATGAGGCAACATTTAAGAACAATTTCCTGAATGAAAATGTCCTATCTTCTTTTGCCAAATTATGTTTGGTATTATTCTGATAGTGACATAAGTGCTAATGTTCTCTGTAGCTACTCATGCAGAACTATGGAATCAGTGGGTAGAAGATAATGAAGTTGTAAATGTGGAGAAGTATTGTCACACAAAATGAGATAATTCACTCTGTCAAGCATTTAATCCAATAACTCATTCTTGCAGCTTGCTTAGTTTCTTTTTAATTTAAGGAGGGGACAAAAGACTATTTTGGTAGAATAGGCAGTGCTCATAGGTTTCATTCTTGATCCCTGTATGTTCTTATTCCTGTAAACATTGGGATCTCTCTACTGTTGGGATTTATATTATGCAAGTATAATATGATATAAGGTGAATATAAATTTGGGGAAATGTATTTGTAGTATTAAATTAATAATATCATAAAGAAATAATGTGGTCAGGCATAGCAGTCACCCATGCCATAATTTGGTGACATTATAGAAATGAGGGAAAGCATGACATTTCAATTAGTAGTTTGGAATTTTGAAATTTGTTTTCTGAGAGTTTTACATGGAAATAATTTCTTACCTTCTAGAAATCGTGTGTAAGTCATTTAATTATTTTTTAATACCAATATCTTTAAAAAGAGAAATGAGGTGAATTTTACAAGATGGTTTATCATTGCTCGAGCGGGCCCAGTAACGTCTCCATTGGAGACTTTATTGTTACTGTGTCTGGCATATCGAATACTCTCGGTAGCTTGCCGGGCTCTCCGAGAGGGGCGGAGGAATCGAACTCGGGTCGGCCATGTTGGCCGCTTGTAAGGCGAACGCCCTACCCGCTGTGCTATCGCTCCAGCCCAGTATGGGAATGCATTCTGATAAGTTGTTATGTGGGACATTTGATCATGCAGAATGTTAGTAAACCTGTTTTCATTCATTCTGCCAATTGCCTTAATGTTCAGGAAAATATTCACAGGTTTATTGTTGTATTTTCATCTTCCTCAACCTTCCCCCCAAAAGGCTGTTTTTCTTCTTATAGAACTCTGTAGCTTCCTTACATTTTCTGGTGACTAAAATTAAACAAAGTTCAGTTTACTTTGTTTTTCTTAAAAGTGTTCATTCTTAGTATTCAGTGGCATTTTTGCTTGATTCAGAATATTAGAAAAAGTTGTTTCTTCACTTATTTTTCACATTTATCATTATGTAGTTTTATTCCAATTGCATTTCCAATTTTATCTCTTAAGTCAGCCTTGAATTTGTGCTCCATAAACAACTCATTTGTTTCTCTAGGGTAAGGGATGTATGTCTATAGCTTGAAGTCAGAATAGGATACAGTGCTGATACCATTTTTGTTTTATTTTGACAAGATTTGATTGTTCGGCCTTTTTCATGGACCTAATAAATTTCAGATTACTTTATTCTGTTTCTGTGAAGAATACCATTGCAATTTTGAAGGGATCACACTAAATCAGAATGTTATTTTAAGTAAATATAGCCATTAGTTTTAATTTTGTTCATTGAGGACTGGGGAGGCAGTCCTAGTTGTACTCAGAGTACCTGCTCACACATCATATATTTCTTA